ATCAACCAAGTCAGCAAGCCTGACCACCCGATCCCGTTAGTCGCCTCTTACGACAAGCATAGTCGCCTTTTACGGCAAGCATGGGTTGCTGAAGACCTTTTCTAAACCGGATCTTCAGGGGTAATTGGTTCAGATGTGATGTGATGTGATGTGTGTTTCGGACCGTTTGTTGATGTTGCTTGTTGTTGACGAGGGTTTGGGTTCTCAGTTTCTAGAATGTCTTAAAGGGCCATGTAGAGGATGTAACATCAGTGAAGACAAGGTTGACTCTTGGATTGTTACTGAGACACTTACTTGATAATAATAGAGTCTCGCAGTGATACAATAAAAGAATTTCAAATCCAGAGAATGATATGTGTGTTTACAAGATTTTATAAATAAATCTTTTCTTATTTCGTTGACTTCAGATAAATATCCAAATACAATATCTTTACGACCCAATTCTAAAAGAGCATCTGACTTTCATGAACTGTTGACGTTTACACACGCTAATTTAAAAGCAAAATACTGGTGTTTTCGGAAATGAAACAAAAGGACCAACCCTAGAGAATAATCAGTCTCGATTATCCACCGAAACAGATTCCATTGAGCGCAAAAGGTAAAATAGCGTTGTAACTATATGAATGGATCACTGAACATCATTGATAACAAAGGGTGATCGCGAAAAGGGTAAGCGTGTCCCGCCCTACCCGTAGCATCGCCACTCATGACAACGCATGTGTTTGCTGCCTGCCTGCGCATCAATACTCCTGACATGCGACGGCGGCCTGTAAATTTAAGTTTATGAAATACGACGAAAAGACAACAATGATGCATAAAAACTAAAGCAACAACCACAAATTTAAATATATTTGGAATTACTGCAAAAGTGAATCTATTTCTCAGCCAGTTCCTTGGAATTAAATTGATTGCGTGGAAATAAGTTCGTTTCAATAGGTGAAATAACACTTCCATAGAATGCTTATGTCAGTCAAATACTTCGTTGTTTGCATAGTCATAAACAGATGATTATATTTCAGATTCTATTTACCTTTAAAGCAGAAGAATATTATATTTTGAGGGTGATTTTCTGGCACTGTACACGTTTCTGTATGAAGGTCAAACACAGATGTCAACAACAGACGCAAAAAAACATATTAAGCTCTATGTAGAGGCTCAACAGAATACAAACACTAAATTCAGAATCAGTACTGACAGTACTGTCTCTTGTAATTTGTATTCCATCAGTGTATGGACATCAAGCATCTGCAACGAGAAAAACAATCACTGTTGTCGTTTTAAAATTAACAGTCGTCCTCGGTACGCTCATTTGGAAACAAATGTGTTCGAAAAACAGAATGAGGTGGCCTTAATATATGAGAGAAACAAGATTGTTGATTGGTGCCACGTCACACGGTGTACAGTATCTCTGGATATGACACAACACATGCGGTCATCTATCAGCAACTTATATCATAGACGAACGCTCGCGGAATCAAAGGAGCAGAGAGAAAAATAGTGGCAATTGTTTTAAAAATAATATCCTTACTGGTTAAAAGAAAATACAAATTTTGGGGAAAACAGTTAAAACAGCAAAATAACGTTTTTCATCAACTTAATTATCCAATAAATTGAATAAATGAACCTAGCATCACATAGCACGCTATAATTCTGTTCATTGTGATAAGATGAAATTACCCGGCATAATTTGACAAGCATGGAAATGGTTTTGAATCCACGTATGGAAACGTGCATCCTTCTTTGCTGATAAAAAAGACAGTGTTTTGTAGGAAGATGCATAACGCATATCTTTTCCACTAACAGTATTTGAGCCATAAAACAGATCTCTCTAAATTAACCAATGGTTAATGATGGTTGAAACTTTGGGCAGCGGCCTCAATGAGCATTTGTAATGTAGGGGAGGTAACTCCATCCGTATCACTTTTCTTACCATCTTGGCTAATAGTTTCGACATTTATACTAATTGATTGCTTTTCGTCGTTTTGGCATTTATGTAATAATTGATTTAAAGTGTTAATTAAAACCCCATGAGTTAAAACATATCAGTAGGTTTGTGGTCTTGTTGTCTTCACAACTGTAACTGTTTATTTAGAGATAAGTATGTACATGTTGCAGCTCTGCTATACATGGTCCACTGCTAACTACTTACATTGTAAATTGTATTGTAATACATTGTTAATTCCAGTATCAGGGTAATGCAATATAGTATGATAGCTATATTCTGCACAACTACTACGAAACTCATTTAAATGAAGACAGAAAATCTTTCGTCCAGAGTTTGTCCAGGAATGTTCGCACAGGCCGTATCCCGCTAAACACGCTGTGATGCAAGGGAGACAATTCTTGATAAAAATCCATTGTTTCAATGTGCGCAAATATCATCGTTGCCCATGTTCGCCTTAAATCCAATTACTTCAAAGTAATATTCAATGAACTCTGACAAACTGTATTAAGATACGGTAGAACCCAAATGAACTGAAATGGTAAGGAACATTAAATAGTTTACAACTTTTGTTAAAAAACACCAAATGAACATTGTTAATTCATTTAAGAGTTATTGGTTAAAAAGTAATGGAAGCATACGTAGAATATGTGTTCAATATGTCTTCTCTCAGACCATAACGGAACAACCTCAATTGGCGCAGTTGCAGGGATGATGATTTATGCAAACATTACGAAGGATTACAAGTGAAATATTAAGTCTTTTGCATATACTACTTAAATGGCCAAGAAATAATTTCAAGGATTCAGGATTTCACTAAGATCAGTCATACATACTACACACCCTTTGATAGGAGAACTGATGTTTCAGGGCGGTGGGTAGCCCAGTGGTTAAAGCGTTAGCTCGTCACGCCGAAGAGCCGGTTTCAGTTCCCCACATGGGTAGAATGTGTGAAGCCAATTTCTGGGGTCCCACGCCGTGATATTGATGGAATATTGCTAAAAGCGGCGTAAAAGAACACTCACTCACTCCTATACCACCTTTATTACCACTTACGTACTGTGAGTATTACATACTGTGTTGTCATAGGATCATAGGAATAGTCTGATCAAAAGTAGCGTAGTATTTTTCACGTAATATTGCTTACAATCAGACTCTGACCAATTGTTAACGTTAATATCAAAACTGATGGCATGATAACGCTAACCTATGTTGATTATGCCGTGTGACTTGACTCGGAAGGGTGTTAACATTAAAAGGAAAGCTTCACACAAAACGTGACTCTGTATTTTGTATTGATCACGTGCTTGTTGTATACTGATTGCATGTGCTGCACGTGCCGATACTCTTGGTTGAACCATCCATGCAGAGGTTCACCTCCACAGGATATCAGAGTAAACAGAGGCGTCTACTGCCTACTGCCTTTACTGTTATGTATCACATCCCGTCAACTGCCTACAACCTTTACCGTTGTGTATCGCATCGTGTCAGCTGCCTACTGTTTTAAACGTTGTGTATCACATCCCGTCAATTGTCTACTATCTTACCTGTTGCGTATCACGTCCCGTCAACTGCCTACAACCTTTACCGTTGTGTATCGCATCGTGTCAGCTGCCTACTGTTTTAAACGTTGTGTATCACATCCCGTCAATTGTCTACTATCTTACCTGTTGCGTATCACGTCCCGTCAACTACCTACAACCTTTACCGTTGTGTATCGCATCGTGTCAGCTGCCTACTGTCTTTAACGTTGTGTATCACATCCCGTCAATTGTCTACTATCTTACCTGTTGTGTATCACGTCCCGTCAACTGCCTACAACCTTTACCGTTGTGTATCGCATCGTGTCAGCTGCCTACTGTCTTTAACGTTGTGTATCACATCCCGTCAATTGTCTACTATCTTACCTGTTGTGTATCACGTCCCGTCAGCTGCCTACAGCCTTTACTGTTGTGTTTCACATCCCGTCAGCTGCATACTACCTTTACTCTCGCGTATCACATCCCATCAACTGCCTACTACCTTTACTGTTGTGTATCACATCCCATCAACTGCTTACTATTTCATTCGTTACATATGTGGAGGTTCACATTTGAAATGCTGAACTACAGTGTGTCTGAAAATCATGAACGTAATCAAAGATGGCGGGTATACTGTCATTTGCACAATAGTTTGATTTGTTTGACTTGTACAAAGTCTAGATGGTTGCTGGGGTGTTAACAGCCTACTCAATCACACTCGTGACAACTGAACGACAAGGCAGTGATATATCTTAACCTCACTTGCTTAAAATAACCATCCACTGCCGGATTCATGTTGCGCTGCGTCGTACTGGATTGTGGTTAGACGTCAAGACTTATTTAAAAAACAGTTTCATATAGTCAACCAATAGTCTACCATGATTGTGGGGAATTTAATTTTGCAGTTGACTGCACCTGGGTATCTTCTGATAAAAAGATGATTGTATGTCCACTTTACCACGTGTATACGTAATTGCAGCCATTTGTAATTATTTTCCCTTCGAAAAAAGTGCAGCTTGAAAAATTCAGTTTCACTCACTCCAAAGCTTTCCATAGGTTTGTTATAGACATTTGGTGAACATTTCAAAATTTGGCGCAAAAATGATGTCTGATGCAATTCGCTATTTTGGTTTGTTCCATGTGTTTCTGTGTTTTTCAGGTGAACGATTTACCTGCCTTTGCATGTGTTTGTGATGAATGCCATCGGTGGGGCAGGATAGGCTCACCTTTTCGCGAACACCTTCTATAGTCACTTTTTGAAAGTCATTCATAAACACATGCCAGTGATATAGTCGGATAGTAAAATAGACTTTTAACAGATATTTCCAATGAATATGATTTTTTTTCTTACTTTTAATCAATCAATACTTATATCAGAATATAATACTGGCAGGTATCAAGGGAATCGTCTTCTGGTTTCGTCTTCAGCCTTACTTCATTTGGATAATAATGGAAACACGTGTCATAAACTGAACGCATCACGTTTCAGACATTGAAGCAGTGTTGGAAAATCTGATCTTCACCTTCAACACTTTGAGTAAACAAGAAACTTCTTTTATTAAAGAAAAATATACATTAGTATACACAGTACGTAAAAGTTTCAAGTAGAAAATATTAACAGAAAGTTGTAACACACAAACAATTATCTCTCTATTATTTGGCAAGAAACGCGCAACACAGGTGGAACCAAGGCACTGCATCTCACCTGCCTGACTCATTAGGGAGATGCGTACAATGGTACGTACAATACAAACTGTTTATGGTGTGCCTTCATATACATTATGTTGTCACCATCTACAACATCAAAACTTATGTGCCGACCACAATGTTAATGTATACATAAAGGTTTTCTAGCCTTTTAATTGATTATTTTTTATTCAAGACAACCACAATACAAATACCGATCATAACAGTTTGATACGTATCAAGCTAAGTTCAGTGAAAAGGAATTGAAGTACATAATGCGAAAAGTCGACTAGTTTTGTGAACACTTCTTTTTTGTGTTACAAAAACCTCTATATATAAAAATAAAACGTATAAATCATATAAAAATAGAGTATTGCCCATTAAACAATGTTTGTTCGTTTGATTTTAACGCCGCAGTCGGCAATATATCAGCTATATGACGGCGGTCTGTAAATAATCGAGTCTGGACCAGACAATCCAGTGATTGACATCATGAGCATCGATCAAGGCAATTTGGAGATGATGACATGCATCAATCCATTCAGCGAGTCTAATCCCCGAACCCGTTAGCCTCTTAATGAAAGAATCAGGTTGAGATGTACAACATACAATAAATATTCTATGCTGCAGGTTTTTCGGGAGGTTCCTGTCCCGCATGCTCCCAGGCTTTGATGACAGCATACAACTTATCCCCGGGGCACTCCGTCTCCCGCACATCACGATGTCCATACACTTTGTAGTCGGGAGTTATCTTCCCCTGAGCTACACCACTATTGATGACGTTTTGCACAACCTGCAAGGTAAGTTCACTCGGGGGTCGCTCGGTGAAATTTCCCATGACGGATATAGCTATGGCGACACGGTTAAACCCGTAAGTGTGTGCCCCAACCCTTGTCCAGTCTCGACCAATGAAAACGTGCCCTGCTTCCGATACCAGAAAGTTGTACCCGACATCGTCCCATCCTGCAATACAAGATAAACAATACGACGTTACATTTTTGAGACACGTTTCGTAGAATCAACATGGGCGTAGTTTGAATCTTGCTTGACAATCGCCAATCCTTCTGTTAAGTGTCTTATCAATCATATCCGTCTTCCTGTTTGCGCAGTGTCAATCGTCGTGACCGATTATGTTGAGGGGAGTTTACACACCTTAGTCTTACGCTGTTTCAGTGAACATGGGCAATTAGCAGTGGCATGGATCGCAAGTTTTATGTGTGACAGTTGACGTTGAAGAATGGCAATCTCATTTTCGGAAAAATCGAAAACTACAGTTTAGGAATCCCAAGGTTTCAAATTGGTATTCCATCCCATGCAGATATTGGAAGATAAATGGCATTGTTACACAAAATGTGTGTTCCTATACGCATGCGCAATCATATCTACATTAATTGCGGTGATATTGCTGACTGTGGCATTCGCATATATAGCTGTGATATTGCTGACTGTGGTATTCACATATATAGCTGTGATATTGCTGACTGTGGTATTCACATATATAGCTATGATATTGCTGACTGTGGTATTCGCATATATAGCTGTGATATTGCTGACTGTGGTATTCACATATATAGCTGTGATATTGCTGACTGTGGTATTCACATATATAGCTATGATATTGCTGACTGTGGTATTCACATATATAGCTATGATATTGCTGACTGTGGTATCCACATATATAGCTGTGATATTGCTGACTGTGGTATTCGCATATATAGCTGTGATATTGCTGACTGTGGTATTCACATATATAGCTATGATATTGCTGACTGTGGTATTCGCATATAAAGCTATGATATTGCTGACTGTGGTATTCACATATAGCTATGATATTGCTGACAGTGGTATACACATATATAGCTATGATATTGCTGACTGTGGTATCCACATATATAGCTGTGATATTGCTGACTGTGGTATCCACATATATAGCTGTGATATTGCTGACTGTGGTATTCACATATATAGCTATGATATTGCTGACTGTGGTATTCGCATATATAGCTGTGATATTGCTGACTCTGGTATTCACATATTGTATAGCAAACTATTTTGCTCTTTGTTTGACATAAAGTGAAGCTGTTTCGGTCGGTCGGTTTTAGTGGTGGAAATGCCATGTGACCTTGACCAGCGCTTGATGCACTCACAGGGTGGGAGAAAAACAGCGCAGCAATATATCGATGCAACTATCCTTTTGATCACGCTTCTGTAACAGTAAGATTAACCTTGTGCCAACGGACTTTGTCAGTGAACTTTGTCAACGTGATCAACTTGGGGAAACTGAATATGTGAAGCCTATATTGTTATTGTTGTTACTGGAATACAAGAAATTTTAAATAACTACTTCTTTACTTCATTGTCACGTGGTACATGGTAAATCTCGTACTTCGGTACAGTCCATTCCCATGTATAGAATTGGGTGTTAAAGCATATCTCTTCATGCCTACTCATGGTGTTGTAGGCACACATGCGTGTAGGCACACTGGCGTGTAGGCACAATGACACTTAACCATGTCAACTACATGCATGTTTAAACTGCACTTTCAATATTTTCACAGTAATATTTGAGTATAGATTTGATCTTTTGTGTTCATTCCAGGGGAATTCAAATAAATACATAAATATGCCTAGTCACAAACTTTGGGCCTCCCAGCTTTCATCAGGCATTCTCTGTTGATTTCATACTGCATTATTCGAAATCCTATTTTCTATTTTACTATTGCTGTATTCATTATATTTCACTACATGTCAGTAGTTGAGTGAGTGAGTTGGGTTTAACGCCGCTTTTAACAGTACATGTATTCCAGTTATATCACGGCGTGTCAGCTTAATGTGGGAGGAAAGCCCGAAGTGATGCAGGTCTCAGACGTTTACCACTTTGGTGAAACCCACGAACACGGGTATGGTGCTGACAAACCTAGAAACATAATCGGGGCGAACCAGGATTCGAACCCACAATCATAGGTTTTCGGGACGCAACTCTGCACAGCGAATCGCGGTGCTTTAGACGACTGGGCCACCCGTGCCCCCCTTCAACAGTTGAGAAAGGTTCTCGAATAGTGTACGAAACCAACAGAGTGAAGCTCCAGCTTTGATGTCAGAGAAGGCTTTGTATTCTTTACAAAGGATTTGCAGAAGCTTGATACTATAATGCATTTTTAAAAAATACAATTTTACAGTTAAAAAGTTGACAGTTACTTTTTGGTTGATTTTTGCAGTGTCTCTTTACTTGATCAAACATTAAAGAAAGAGATGTCATACAATTTTAAATACTTTTTTACTATTCTTTTAAATATGGTTTTTGACAGTGATTTTAGGCGAACTCGTGAACCGAAAATATCACATGGTGTCTCCTGGCGAATAATGACGTGAGGGAATAAATACGCACCTCGATCATCCATATGGAAATTCTGGATAACTCGCATTTCTTCACAGCCTTCCTCCAGGGTCGTACAGGACTTCATGTTTGTGTGGTGGATGAAAACGAGGCTGACTGGTTTGTCCATGTGATGTATTTCACGTGACTCACGCGCGCCCCATTCAGACCGAGACACAAACGGAAGGTCGTCTCGTGACACTGGAAAAAAAAAGAAGTTTATGAAGCAGTGTGCAAATGAGTACAGCAATAAAAAGCAAACACGGAAATTAATAATACGTCGAAAGTGCAATTTTAAAAACAAACTATTAATAAGGAACCTATCAACTCTTACATTGTTTATTATGGAGAGGAGACCCGTGAAGATTCCGGGGTAGAATAGGTCTTCAGCAACCCATTATTGCCGTAAAAGGCGACTACGCTTGTCGTAAGAGGCGACTTACAGGATCGGGTGGTCAGACTCGCTGACTTGGTTGATGCATGTCATCGATCCCAATTGTGTGGGACGATGCTCATGATATCAATCACTGGATTGTCTGGTCCAGACTCGATTATTTACAGACCGCCGTCATATAGCGGGAACAGTGCTGAGTGCGGCGTAAAACAACAAACCAAACCAAAAATTATTATGGGGAGGAATTTGTAATCTTATTGTAAAATAGACAGGGCTCTGAATTCTAAAGTACTTTAACTAGTTTATAAATATCGATGCAATCAATAAGATATTTGCTTCACGGGTGCAGAGTAGTTAGGCGCATTAAAGTGCCACTTACTAATTAAAATGCCACTTACTAATCTTACAATGACTTGACTTTACAACAAACTTTACATTGGACAGGATGTTTTGTATGGTGATTTTTCCAAACATGCCGTGATTTTCTTCAGTTGGTGCATGTCCGCCAAATTATTGCGAAAATGACACAACTATTTTATTCCCAGCATGTGTTATTGCGAAATATGATACTTATTAGTCTATATGTGTGTAATATATATATCGCGGTTAACAAATCAGATGTATCCAGTATCGCTATGCCCCATGGATCATATGGGTTATAAGTACACTGAAACATGAAACGGCATGCATTCAGGGTCATGGGTTCACGAGGTCAAAGCACACTGTGATATATAATTCACTACACAACCCAAGGAATAACATCGGCTTTGTCTCATAGACCTTGATATAGTTTGAAGCATTGAATTAAGCTCATCTGATTTAACACGGGAGGGGGATCCCTGCTCTCGAATAACTTCTAAATGGGACTGAAATGAGACGTCGTGGAGTGTGTGAAATTGCGAGTTTGTTTCTATGTAATTATCATCCAATACTGACTTCCACAGGATATATCGAGAGAGAGAGAGAGAGAGAGAGAGAGAGAGAGAGAGAGAGGGAGAACTAGTTTATTTATGTGTCACGCATTACATAGGCTGTGTATATAAACAAAATGGAGATATAATTTAAAAGTAACGCCCTGACATAAGGCTTATGAGACACAACAAAACAATAAGTACATGTGTGTAAAAAACGTAAGAAGGATACTGTTCGTATCCTGTACAAAACATTATTATACATGGTAATATCCATAGTTCACATAATGTTCATGAATTAAATAATTGTTTTTGTTTCTACATTTTATAAAGTGTGCTTGTTAATGGGACTTAGCAAAATGGTTTGGGATGCTAAATAGTCTCACCCAAATGTCTTTTGATATCAAACATAGCAACACTCGTGGGTAAAAGCTTTAAGACTTGTGTCGATGTATTTGATACAAAACGACACTCTACGTATACACACGTAAGAACTTTTGCATTGACACACACACAGACAGACTTTCGACCTAACCAAGTCACTCTGAATGTAGATATCGCGTAGCAGTAGTAGAACGACTAATGTACAATATAGCAGCCTACTAGCAGTTGACACGCACCTTGACGAGAATAGTGTGTGTATATGTGTATATGTAGCGACATTTCAGACTGGAGATATATACCACTTGACAATGTCGCCTGCAGACATGCGAACGTATCGCACCTGTGCTTGCGGAGGAGAGATGCCTTGTGGGTACAGTGTTGTGAATAACGTCTGATATACTGAAATCTGAGCAACGCTGGCCGGATTTCATCTCCACAAAGAGGAAGTGTCTGGACACAAAATACGTGTGTCTGATACATGTCTCGATTGCTGTGACAGTTAAACTTCCTGATGTATGTTTATGGTTTTGATTTAGATGTATTTTACTAACAGTGTTTTATTCTGTGGTTCGTGTGTGGAAAGAGGTTAGCTTTCATAGTTTCACATGTAAACTTTCAGTTTCCGAAAATAAGTATCCACATCGCAACTGCTCATATTGCAGCTAATGTTCGTGGCGTTACTACTACAACCACCACCACCACCACCACCACCACTACCACTACTACTGCTGCTGCTGCTGCTGCTGCTGCTGCTGCTGCTGATGCCACTACAACCATGCAGGGAGTCCGGAACAGAACAGGTCCCCACTACAACTACTACTAGTACTACTACAACTACTACTAGTACTACTACAACTACTACTAGTACTACTACAACTACTACTAGTACTACTGCAACTACTACTAGTACTACTAGTACTACTAGTACTACTACAACTTCTACTACCATTACTACAATTACTCTTACTACAACTGTTATTACTGCCACTACTACTGCTGCTGCTGCTACTACTACTACTACTACTACTACCACCACCACCACCACTACTACTACTACCACCAACACCACCCGTGAAGATTCCGTGGTAGAATAGGTCTTCAGCAACCCATGCTTGCCGTAAAGGGTGACTATGCTTGTCGTAAAAGGCGACTAAAGGGATCGGGTGGTCAGGCTCGCTGACTTGGTTGATTCATGTCATCGATCCCATTTGCGTGGATCGATCATGATATTAATCACTAGATTGTCTGGTCCAGACTCGATTATTTACAGACCGCCGTCATATAGCTGGAATATTGCTGAGTGCGGCGTTAAACAACAAACCAACCAATCAACCAACCACCACCACCACCACCACCACCACTACTACTACTACTACTACTTCAACCAACCACCACCACCACTAACTACTACTACTTCTACTACTACTACTACTACTACTACTACTATCACTACTACTACTACCACTACCACCGCTGCTACTACCACGTGTGTCATCTTTCCTTGTGTTGTCACATTTGTCACATTAACAATCAAACAGTGAAGATCATAAGGATTTAAGGCCCTTCAGTACCACAAGTAATAGAAGTGATAGATTAATCTGACTTCGTTGTAACACTGTAATGTTGGATACACACATCATTAGACGCATCAAACATAGCTGATAACAATACTGCAAATATTCGGTCAAAGGTTAAACTGTAGCCACGTGACCCCTTGCAGTAAGTGAGCAAGATGAAGGGGGCGACGCACCTATACAGTGAGAGAGATAATCACTACCTTAATATAATATAATAATAATTTTGTCATAATTAATGTCTGCGGCTAAGCCAGTGCTTCGTATTAGCAGAAATCACTACTTACTTGTCTATGAAAGATCTTCACTTCGCCACTCTGGCATGCAAACCTCACACACAGAACGAAATGTCAAAACTGAGTTTTCGACAGCCCCACGCAGCACACAATCGGCGTTTACATTTCAACCCGATGACAGTTGCCTCCCCTTTGCTACTCCCCTATACACATCAAAGTGCAAATTATATAAATTATACCCTGTTGCTACGTAAGCGGTCGTTTAGCAAACTGTCGTATATAACATGGCGTAATATATTTCGATTACACTACTTCGCCACATTGATACAGTATGTTTGATCAGGTGGTTTAACTCAGATATGAATAAAAATAGTTGATTATCCAGTGAGCTATTTTTAGACGGGAATTCCGTGTTCGTTTACGTATGTGCCGTGTGTCAGATACGGAGGTTTGGCCTTCACTGTACGTCACGTTTGATTCACTTCCTTGAGGAACAGGACCCGGGCTGTTCGGGGCGACGGTTCTCGGGGTATCCAGGTCAATGGTCCAGGTACATATGGACTGATCTCCCGCTCTGTAACCCTGGACATGGTTTAATGGAGCGTGTCAACTGTGACTCAGTCTCAGTCTGTTTGTCAGCAATATTCCCGCTATATGGCCGCGGTCTGTAAATAATCGAGTTTGGACCAGACAATTCAATGATTGACATCAGGAGCCTCGATCCACGCAGTTGGGGTGCGATGACATACATCAACCAAGTCAGCGAGCCTGACCACCCGATCCCGTTTGTCGCCTCTTACGACAAGCATAGTCACTTTTTACGGCAAGCATGGCTAGCCCGGATCTTCACGAGTCAGTGAATATGCAAATGGGTATCTTCGTGAAATAGAACAGGTGTACTTTCTTCGTTTGAGCATCATCACGTTTTCGGGCTGAAATCATGAATAGTTGAGTCTGTTTGTTTGCTTGTTTAACGCCACACACCGCAATTTTCTCGTGTTTACCGTGTTTTTCCGTATGGCGAGGGCCTGTAAATAATCATTTAGTCTTGACAAGATAATCCAGTGATTGACGTCATGAGCGTCGAACAACGCAATTGGGACACGATGACATCCATCAACCCATTCAGCGAGCGTCAGGTTGATGCATGCCATCTTCCTAAGGCAAGGGAGTTAACTGACTGTAAAAGTCCAGTTTCCACCTTTGCCGAACCAGGTTGGAATTCCGGAGTTACAGTTTGGCTGGACTAACGAGTCTGTGCATAGTCCAGTCAAAATTGCGTAACGAACTAGACATCCGGTTCGTAAACAACATGGATTTCAACGTGCAGATTTTGATCGACTCCAGGCCTCGCAAAGCATGAGTAATGCCGACTTGGCATCGACTCATATTTTGCAAATCTTTTCATGTTTGTAATCAAGGTGATCAGGTGATTTGAGACTCGTTTCATTACAACAAAGTTATTGATTATCGATCAGATCGTCTTGACTGGGGGCCGCCATTTTGTTTGAAGCAAATGCATGTGCTATGAGAGATGAAGTCATATTGCAGTCAATAGGAGGGACATAGAGGGGACATAACTCGTAATAGCCACTGGTGGCGCTACGATCGAACCTGGAAATTCCAGCCTTGTTCGGTGGTGGTGGTGGTGGTGGGGTGGGGTTGGGTGGGGTGGGGGTGTGGGGTTGGGGTTGGGGCAGGGGGTGGGGTGTGTGTGTGTGGTCATTTACTCTTGAGGCCAGTGGGGTAAATGTGAATGGGGAAGGTTGGCCACCATACATCGATCGATAGAATGACCATATGACCATTTAATGTGCGTGGATAACCAGAATACCTACTGCACGGACGATAATGCCATGGCTGTCATGGGTGATCGAAAACCGCACTATCGGCAATATAGTATTATTTCGAAGTAAATCATTAAAGGTAATCATAAGGCATAATTAAGAACAAATATATGGTAGAGAGTTCATCCTTATCATATCTATTACATGAATCTGATAGTGTGATCATTTGTCAATAGAATTTGTCTAGACAACCAAATACACCTGCTGCATACCAGTGTGTGTGAGTGTGGTGGCGGGTGTGTGTGGGTGTGATCGAAAACGGGAGAAGATGCAATGGTTGGGATATTGATGCAGTTATTCTTGGCTTATATGATGCCATATACCATAATCGTATCAACAATTAAAATATTTTTGTAAACAGTTTATTTCGCACGCTTGCTATTCATCACAATCGTATCTGCTAAGTCTTCTTCAGTGGCAGTGTAGCGCCAGCGCAGCATACCCAGGGAACCAGACTGCTGTGTTCTTGAGCTACATAACCATGTACACAGTTATGTTTTCCATTTGTTTATGTTCAATGTACTGTTAAGGCAGATTTATGACATTTAATCAGATGTATTAAAACTAAAAGATGAAATTATCGCATGATGATTCAAGTCAAATCGTGATAGTGACAACTTATGTTTTAGTGTCAATGATGTTGTCTCAATCAACAGTCACATTAAGTAGACAAAAACACCAATATGAATCTGGTTATAAACTAAAATTATGTTCTAGTAGTTAATTCAGTAGTTTGACTGCCCTTGAGTACAATTGTATTGACAGTACATCTCATAATAATGCTATACAAATTCTGCATAGTGTAAAAATGCATTTTACAAAACCAATGGAAGCGATTGTAAGACTGAAACATGAATTAAAGTCGATCAGATTTTGCACAAAACATAAGTTATGGAATTCATCTTCAGTTGAACTTGTACAGTAGTGTAGACAAATTGCAGATGTCATATTAATGCGTATACAATTGGCCATTCGATGCTGTTGGGGGCACAGTCGTCTAAAGCGCCGCAATTCGTTGTGCAGAGTTGCGTCCCTTGGACACGCCAGGAACCTATTATTGTGAGTTTGAATTCCCGGTTTGACCCGATTGTTTTTTTGTTTTTTTCAGCATCATATCCGTGCACGTTGGTTTCACTAAAGTAGAAACGTCTGAGACTCGCATCACTGTCAGACCTGTGCCATCCTCCCTCATTAACCTGACACGCCCTGATATAACTGGAATTCTGTTCCGGCGTTAAACACAACTCACTCACTCACTTTGGCTCTGTTATGAAGGTCGGAATTTGCAGTGATCCCTGGTCATTTATTTATCATGGATATGCGTTGCATATTTTTCATGGGGTGATCTATATGTGTAAATATATTACTAAATTAAAGTGAAGGTTGTTGAAGATTCTTGAATGTCAGTTTTGAAAGCCAACGAACATGTAGGAACCATGTAATGTCACCAACATATTGTTAATGTCTAACGCATCAACCTGAATGAAATAATGACAATCTAATATGCGACATTCGATTTTGTTTACCATAAGGAAAATAAGTTTTCTTTGATATGGCAGTGATTAAGATAATTACACGGCCCCTTTCTCAATGGTTTTAACCCATTGTTATCTCCATGAATATAGATACATTTTCTCGAAATGTTCTTCTTCCAGTTACATAACGGCGTGGCAGCTTAATGTGGGAGGAAAGCCCGGAGTGATGCAGGCCTCAGACGTTTACCACTTTGGTGAAACCCACGAGCACGGGTATGGTGCTGACAAACCTAGAACCATAATCGGGGCGAACCGGGATTCGAACCCACAATCATAGGTTTCTGGCATGCCCAAGGGACGCAACTCTGCACAGCGAATCGCGGCGCCTTAGAGGACTTGGCCACCCGTGCCCCCTCGTGAAATTGGAAGATACGTTAGAACCAAATGTTTCACACGTGGTTCAGAGATATAATTGTTGAAAGGACACAACCATTGTTCGCGTTGATGTTATCGATAAATATTAAGGTGACTTTGACCAATAAAAAATGATGGGATTTCACTCGGATATCTATAATAAGTTACAACTTTATAATTAACATTTTCAAAGTCAAAATCTCTCTGCGGCAAACAATTCCTTCCTCACGACACACAATCACATATGTTTCTCGAGACCAATCATGGGTGAGGTGAGGTGAAATTGGGTTTAACGTCACGTCCAAGATTATTGCACTTATATAGCGACGTGCATGCACGTGTGTGTGTGGCTGCTTGTACTAGTCCGGACTAATGCCGATTTATACTGCTAGCACACTGAGATACCATGCCGCAGTTTAACATGAATACCCCACTCAGACACAGTATACTTACTCCGAGCCGACCAGTCCTTGTTTTAGCCCTTTAATGCCGAGCGCCAGACAGGGTAACAACAAGTACCATCTTTTAACGTCTTTTGCTATGACGCCCAATCATAGAGTACAAGTATACCTACATCATCTGCAAGTAATAACACATCAGATTATGCATATACCTGGTAGACAGTGCGGTTCTTATGACCCAAGACACCCCTGACACTAAACGTCTTCTCACATCTTCCGTGCAGGAGTTATAACTGTTGTCCTCTTATCCGTTATTGACAAATTGTCATACAGTTAACTACGGTTATAACGAACTCAAAGGGACTACTAATTTTAGTTCGTTATAACCGTAGTTCGTTATAAGCATATATACAGCATAACTACAGCAAATAGTCGGGGCCAAAAAGTAAGTTCGTTATATCCGTCAGTTCGTTATAAGCGTGTTCGTTTTAACCATAGTCTACTGTATCATCAGTATCGTGGTGACCTTCCGTTTAGATCGCCTGATGTCAGGTTGACCCCATAAAGCGGAACTACCCCCCAGGGTAGTGAGACAGAGAACAAGAAATCTGTTATCATACCAGGCAATCACAGGTCCGGAGACCCGTGGAGATCCGGGTAGAGAAAAGGCCTTCAGCAACCCATGCTTTCCATAAAAGGCGACAAACGGGGTCGGGTGATGGCAGTTATATTGGCGGAGGAACTCAGCTGTTCTTCTGTCTGAACATTCATAACTACTGTTTCATAAGAAACAGGATATGTAACTGTTATCGGTGTTTATAAATGTTTGAGTTGATGGCTGTAGACATATTTTAGCAATGTGATGCTACTTTTGACTATTAAGACAGCATTATATGTGCTTCAATTTGCTAGGTGAGAGAGTGAGTTGGGTTTAACGCCGCATTAACAGTATTCCAGTTATATCGCGGCGTGTCTGCTTAATGTGGGAGGAAAGCCCGAAGTGATGCAGGTCTCAGACGTTTACCACTTCGGTGAAACCCACGAGC